TGCCAAGGTAACAGCTAGGCCAGCTGTTTGTTCTCCACTCCTAAAATAAAGCCTTCCTTACTCTTTTGGGAACTGTGGAGTCCTGGGAGTCAACAAGCCCCAGGTGAAGTTGCCAGAGCTTTGTGCTGCAATCTGGGGCTTTTGACACTGCCAGATGTTGCTGTTGCTTGCTCCACTTGCTCCACTGATTCATTCTTCTGCTGACTGCTGCTGCTGCTCCTCATTTTTGAGCTGTCCTGCCTCACCACTGTCATTTTGTAGCATTTTGTCTTGCTTCAGCTTTTAAGAAGTGCATATGAAGTACTGCCATGTCCTTGATGTATACAGAATATTGGTAATCAGCTTCTCCCACTTCATGGACTCCTAAAAAAAAATCTTGTGCCATTTTTTCCTTGCAGTCCTACACAGAAGTTATGATCTCTCTAGATTAACATGAAGAGTTGGCCTAGTAAATGTCTGGAAATCTAGAAACTTTGTCTAAGGCAGTTACAAAGCTGTAATTTTTTTCCACTTTGTTATTAATTTCTTTTTACAGAAATGCTTCTCAAACATCTGTAAAATAAGTAGGTTTCAGAGGTTCCCATTTGTCTCTCTCATCTCCTTGCTCTCCAGGAAATGCTCTTCCTACCCACTATGAGTTGAGGAATGGGGGAACACATTACTACATTTTATGTTAGCAAAAGTTCCTTTAATTTTTATCTCATGTGAATCATAAGCAAACAATACTTCAAAGATTCAACTACAGTACAATATGAATGTACCCTTTTAAAATTTTTAAGGAACATGTTCTCCTTTCTTCTCTATTTTTCTGTTTGTTTGTTTGTTTGGGTTTTTGTTCTTGTGGTTTGGTTGTTTTGTTGAGGTTTTGTGGGTTTTTTTTAGTTCTGGATGTGAGCAGGCAGTCAAATAATGAAATTTAAAGTTGTATATTTTTTCTTCCCTTTTTTCTCAACCTATGCTATTTGTATAAAGCCATTCCTGAAGAGAGATGCAATTTACTTCATATTTCTCCTGCCAACCATCATGTTACTGTAGCAGGAATCTGGAGGCCAAAGCCTCATATTTGTTCCCAGTGACATCTCTATACCACTTACCAAGGACTACATGGTTTTTGAACTAAAAATCTATATATGCTACTGTCATCTGAAAGCAGATAAAACAGCAGGGACTTTCTACCAGAAAACTAAGTGAATGTTTGATTGCTGTATTCTGTAGTAGTTTGATATTGAAACTGTAATAAATAAATTTGATTTACATTTGATTTGGTTACTCCTGTGTCTGTAATGCTAAGAAAAAGCCTTTTACATTGCCTCAGATCTTGACAGAGTTATGTAATAAATAATTAAAAGTGTTGTAAATCTTACTGCAGTGGTTTTTCAAGCTGTTACAAGGTAGAGTAGCAATAAAATAATTTTTAAAAAGTTAAAAAAGGTTATTTTGATCCCATTTCCATTGATGCAAAATCAATTAAATTCCTTTCCTATAAATTAAGCTAATGAACTTATACGACCTAGTGGGATACTCTGAGAAGTTTGGGAAAAGTAGAACAGACTTGAATAAATATATTTGAGTTTCTGATGCAAGTTTTCTGGACTCTGAGGGAACTTATCATCAGTTTTCCTCCTGTTTCTCATGGTGTTAATAGGAATTTAAGGTTAAGATCAATCTCAGTAGACGACCAAAGGCAATCATCTCTCTGAGGCATGATATAATTTTTTGCCTGCATGGATTCCGCAGTTCCCTGGATTTCCTATTCAATTGTTTCACTACTCACACAGTTAGAAAAATGTTCCTTATTTTCAATTTGAAAAGCCATTTTATATATATATATGTATATATATATATGTACACACACATTTTTTGCAATTTGGATAGTTCCATTTGATATGAAGGCAGTTACATTAATGTGAGACATACAGTTTTAATTTCCTGTCTCCATAAAAAATTGGCAAAGATCCTTCATTAATTTATTAAAGTGTTCATCATTTTTATTGGAAATTAACATAAATGTGCAAAACCACAGAAGGCGTTTGCTCAAAACAACCAATTCCTTTCTTGGTATGAAAGGAGAAAGTGATTTGATATAGTAACTTCCTTTTTCTCCTTTTTTCCCCAAAGACTAGTCTATACTAATCTCTGATTTTCCCCTTAAACTAAAAAATTATTCTCCTGTATGTCTTCCTAAGGGTTCAAAATACAAAATTTGTGAATAGGATGAGAACTTCACCAAGTGTAGATACTGTTGATACAAGGTGAAGATGAGATATATACTGTCAGGAAACAAAAATCCTTTTTTTTGTGCATATATCAAGTTGCCTCTCTGTTCAAGATAATTTAATCAGTTTTTTAGCAGATATACTGCATCTTGCCTTTCTTTTTGTGAGGAAAAGTAAGGAATACAATTATTTTGTTTGTACTCAAATGAAAATTCACTTCCTAAAAAAAGCAGAATGTGCTGGCAGTTTGAATTGCTAATCTGTTATTAATCCAAGTAATATGAAATTGATCTCCACAGCGCAAGATGATGAGTTGTATACAGCTGTGCATTAGAGAAATTCAGAAATTATGTAAAAGATGCTACAATTGCTTTAAACAGAGTTTTTGCCCTCTTGACTTGGCCAGTTCCCATATCAGCGATCAAAAAGGTTATTGTGTAGAAGTTTATGTAGCAAGAGGATGTAAGATGTCTGATTCAATGTTCTTATTTTGTTGCTCATCTTTATTGTCCATTTTACTTCCCGCACTCTTTTTATGAAGCTGATGTGTGACTGTATTCATTTGGAATTTGTGTTTCTCTGTTTAAGAAATACAGTCACTCCCCTCCCCATGGGACTTCAATTCTGTATTGACATATTGCTCTAGGATAAGATTAAATAACTGTCCTCACTGTGAGAACTTTCATGAGGGAGGATGGACTTGAACTTTATGTGTGATGAGCACAATGTTATTATATTCTCAATGGAATAGTAGACAAAATTCATAATATATTTTTTGAAAATGGCAGAATTAACTTATCCAAAATAAAAAAATACACTATAAGTAAGAAGACTTACTTATTTATAGATTCATGTATTAAAGTAAACTCCTTGTATTTGCTAAAGCTTTTACCACATGGAGAATTCTTGTTCCCTAGTACAGATGTTATTGGATTAAAGGATGTTTGAATGCCTGAATTAAAGGGTATGCTTAAATACTTTTGTGAATTATAGTCTTGACTTGGTATAGCTGTAGTCATGCCTGAGTAAACTAATAGCATTGAGTATAAGCAGTAAATAATTCAGATTTGTACATAGTTCTTCCCCACAGACACTGAGTGGTTTATGTTCTTTATCCACTTGGTTTCCTGTGTTAAGATGTCAAGCAATTGCTTAACTTCTTGAACTTGTCTGGCAAAGCCAATCTTTTTTACCATGCCTATTGAATTATAAATAACGCTCATCTGAATTATAAAAACAAAACTCAGAAAGGAAACTCAAAAGACCCTGAAAAGAGAACCTGTTGCCAGATCTTTCGTTGGTTATAGTTTTAAACAAGGTTTCCTTTCCATTGAATATGGAAGTAGTACAGAACTCCACTTCTGTTGCATGTTCAAATTTATTTACAGCTGATCTATTTTGCCAACAATTTCCCTGCTTTAAAAGTACTTGTCTTCAGTTTCACTGGCAGGGGACAATATGAAGAAACTCTAGTATTATGAAAAATATTATTCTAGCTGAAAAAAATCTGAAAAAAATCTGAGCACCTTAAGTTGCATATTCTATGTTTTTATTGTCATTTGCTTTTGCAGTATGAAATAGAGTATTGACAGAGGCTCATGAGCTTTAAGGATACCACTAGATGTTTCTCTCAGCTCCCGGTTACTTTATTCTTGATGCCCTCCTATAGCTGCTCCTGATTAGCTGAGGATCAGGACCCAGCTGGTCACCTATTGAATCCAGCTGGCAAGTTGATTATTTTCTCTATAAGAGCCCAGGTAAAAGGAGGTATTTTCTTGTAAGTGGGCCCAGAGGGAGAAGGACAGAGAGGTTATATATAAACTGATCAATTAGATATAGAGGAAAGCATATCTTCTTGAGAACATGAGTAGGCATGAAGGGCTTTGAAACTCTGAAGGGTACATCCTCTGCAAGAATGAAAGAATAAAAATGGTTGATAAAAAGTGAAGGTTCTTATGTTCTGATTTTCTTTGAAGTGGTTTTTTTTTTGTTCTCTGCTCTCTGACTGGAACAGATAGAGGTATAGTTGCCTGAGGTAGGTACTAAGCAAGTCTAGTGACTGATGATGAGAACTAACTTGGAAATAAAAAGCTGGAATAGAAAGTCTGTAGTTTGCCAGGGAACAAGCAGATGATTTCTTCGGGGAAGCACAAAGTGACCAGTTTCTGAAAACAGATCAGCAGTGCTCTGACGTTAGAAGCACTGAGCACATCTGGCTTGTCCCTAGGAATGCAAGCATGTTCAAGGAGCCTAGAGCAAAGCATTTAGATTCCTTTCTGTTTCTTCTGGAAAGTTAGACACCCTAAACTTCAATAATAAAGTTGCTTTCTGAAAAGATGAGTGGGCGGTGGGGGTGTTCTGACTACTAAAATGTAAAGGAACTCCATAACCCGGTTCCTCATATTAATCAAAAGGAGTATTTCTGGAACTGGAATTTGTTCATAATTTTGCTATGAAAACTTGATTCTGATGCAAAAAGGTCTTAGCTTAATCTACAATTCAGTTTTTTTCTGTATAAGATGGCTTTAAACTGATTGTGTATCTGGAAAGAGAAAACTGGATGAATTGGGTGAATTCAGAGGGACTTCTTAGTCTCATTATTTGTCCCTACTTTGTGTTTTTGTGTTGGAAGTGACAGGAGTGTTGCTAAAGATACTGGAAGATGTTTCTTTGAGATGTTCCAGGCGCAGCATTTTAGTCGAAGTTCAGCGTAACTTGTTTTTCTTTTTGTAGTCCATTTTGTGCTGTAAATTTGAGGCAAATAATTGTTTTGTTTTGTTATAGGGAAAGGTGAACATGGAAAGCCATACCCTCTTACAGAGGAAGACCACGATGATTCTGCTTATAGGGAAAACGGCTTCAACATATTTGTTAGCAACAATATAGCCCTGGAACGATCACTGCCAGACATCCGACATCCTAAGTATGTAAATTGTCTCCTGGACTATTTAGTTTTTAAGTTTTTAATCTTTGTATGTCTATAAATAACCTGTTTTCCTGGAAGGTCAAACATGAACCCCCAGTCAACAAAAAATGATAATTTCATTAAATAGGAAATGGAAACTTTATCACCATTGCTATATCGTTTGCTCTGTGTTTTAAACTGACTTCTTATCTTATTAGTAACATATTAAGACTATAGAAGGCCTCTTTTCATTACAGAATGATTTTCATTAAATTCCTGGGTAGTGATTTCTGCAAAAAAAAAAAGAAAATCATATAGTTTTTCATGTTGTTAGTTGGTTAATACCTGCAGATTTTTGGTCTGAGGTGTGGAGTAACAAGTTGCATACAGTTTTTGGCTAAAGGTTTTGACACTACAGCTTGTCAGATGCTGATACTACAGTTGATTTATGCAGTATAAAATTGTGTAAGAACAGAACATGCATGATGCACATGCAGAACTTGGGGACGCTGGATGATGGTATTGTTCCCTAACAGCACTAATATAACACAGAGAAATAGGATAAAGATTATTCTGGAAAATAATCACTGAGCTAAAAATGGTCATACAGTTCTTAGCAAACATAACTTCCTTTTATATTCTTTAATTTTTGCCTCCTTTATATCTGAAGAGTAAAGCTTCCTATCTTTAACAGGGAAAAGGGGAGTTTTACCTTTCTAGGCTCCAAGTTCCAGTCCTCTAGAGTCATTCTGAGCTCTGAAGAGAGGACTGATTGGAGTTGTCTTTTACCTGGCATTTTTCCCCTCTTTTAATTAGATGTTATGCAGCTATCATGTGGGGGAAAGATACAGGAGCGAGACAAAACAAATTGTCTCCATGACTATATTTGTATTTTCTTTCAGATATAATTCTCTTCTTTACGAAACATTTCATGTTAAGGTACCTACTCCTTAATTTATAACATTTTGGTGTGTGATTAGTTTAAAAATTTTCAAGGACCGAGGCAGAACTGTTTGCATAGTAAGAGTTCAAAAAAAGTAATTCACATGAAGGAACTAACTTTTTGTTAGAGCTGTTTCTAATTTAATGTTAAACATTAATTGTCTAATTGTATTGTTTTGAGAAAAAATGTTGCTCCTAATTTGTATATATTAGTATTGTTTGCATAGAATTAAGTCAAAAGAAATGTTTTTATAACAAGCTGTATGTCTTATATACTTTTTTTGCTTTCTGCTTTGCCAAGTTACTTGAAATTACTTATAGAAAAAGTGCTTCCAAGAAGTTTGAGTTCTAACATACAGCTTTACAGCATCAAATCTGTGGTAAATTACATTGCTGGTATAATGAATATGTTCATTAAGCATCCTCCTGTGTTAGCAAAACTGCAGAGGACAATTACTAAATATAAAAGGAAGCTGTCAGGTTTATCATCCCTTTGTGTTTTTGTAAATTGATCTTTTGGCAACTTGTTCCTCACCCGCTGCTTTTGCACAGTCAATGACATTTCCACGCGTGTCCCCAGAAGCAATGTGAGTGGTGTGTTGTCAGAAGTGACATATTAGGAATGAGTCAGTGCTAAACCAGCCTTTGTCTGCCCTCCTTCTCCCAGCACAAATCCTTTTGTGATTTTCACCTAAGTGTCTCACTCGGGAAGCTTGTATCTTTAGGTATTGGCATTGTTTCCATGATTCAATTCAGCTAGATTCCTCTAGTCTTCAGTGAAATATTGTATGGTGGCTGTTTTAGTAGTGCTCTGCATAAACTGACTTCTGCCGTGTGCTTCTAACCTTCCTTATGTTAGACACTCATAACATAAGAAGTCCATTGGTTAATTGACTGTATAGCATACCATTTAAATGCAAAGAAAAAAATGTTCTTGTCTTGTGCTAAAATTGCTTACTAATTAATATGCTGATTAAGGAGACAAAGCTGAGCTCTATACTTCTGATGGTTACACCTTGAAGAAAGTGTATTTCTTCAACTTCCAAGAGACACAGAAGTCTGACAATGCTTTCTGACCTACTGTCAGAAACAAACCCCTCTCTTGGCTGCTGTGTGTTAAATATGGCCAGTCTCAAATTGCACTTCACTTTTGGAAATGTGTCCTCTCTTCAGAAGTGCATGAAATGTGAAGTAGGTCATACCTCATTGTGCTGGTTTTGGCTGGGGTAAGGTTAATTTGCTTCATAAATTTGCATGTCACCCTTGTGAAGGGACCATGTTAGAGGCTGGAGTTAAAACACAACACTCATAAAGTTGCTTTCAGAGAAACTAATTGGAAAATTATGTCATTTCTGTGCCAGAAAAGGATGCTCTTATTTCAATACCATTAGAGTAGATAAATCAGGTGAGGTATAGCAGGCAAGATCTAGTTTGTTCAGCTTCTGAACATTATAAAGGGCTTTGGCTTGGTGGAACTTCAAACTACTTTGAGGCTTTTAACTGTTTTCTGCACATTTGTGGGAGATGATATTACTCTAGACTTTGAGTCTTTGATCCTCTGTCTCTGTGTATACCATTTGCACAGGGGCTCATCTGCTAAAGACTAACTTCCTGAAAGTACTATCTATGACACATTTTATAGAACCAAATAGAATGGTTTTATTGCCATCAGTAGAGAAAATTCACAAAATGGAGTTTCAAATACAACAAAAACCTGGTGAATCCTGTAATTTGAATCAAAACTTATTAAATCAAAAGAGCGGCTACAGTAGTTTCAACACTTCTCTGAAATAACTTCAAAAATATCTTGGTCTGAAGTCAGACCAAGGAAACTTCAAGTACCCCTTCCAAGTGTTTGGTTTTATGGGAAGTATGAAAAGATAGCAGATAACCCAAACTTGCTCTTTTTAATCCAAATAAATTTTCTCCTTCTGAGTCTCTTAGTAAACTGAGCTCAGAATTCGCAAATAACACCTTCTAGCAGGCGGACAGGTAGAACTAAACAAATGCTTAGCTGATTGACCTCTGAGAAATTCAGGTTTTCAATTTTTTTATAATATTCTTGTGTTTTTCCTGTCATTTTTTTAAAAACACTTCAGCAAGATGTGTTATGATTGATTTTTTTCTTTCCTTTTTAAGACATCAAAATATGTGTACTATAAAAATCCCTAGAGAAATTCTATTTTAAAGCTGACTTAACATCTTTCCTGTGTCTTTAATATATTTCTATTGTGTCCCTTTAATATCTCCCATGGTTTTTTTTCTCTCTCTCAAATGCTCAAATATTTTTACCATTTCTGAGTGGTCTTTGTCCTGCTTCTGTCCTACTCGTGTGAAAGTCTTCACACAGTGGGTGCTCTTGCCAAGCTATATTAGCTAATTCTCTGTTCTTTGCCCACAATCACCCCCTGGTTTTAAGTTTAAACAAACAAAGAAAACTTTTTTTCCCCCATTAATTGTAGATTAAAGTCTGAAACAAGATTATCATCTCAGTTCATTGTGCTTCAGGACCAATTCAGTGAAAATAAGAGTTTGGTCACCTAAAGTAGAAGGCAGCATTATAACCTTTAGGTTGTATTGAGCAAAAGTAACGGAGTTAATGTTTAGGAGGTAGAAATTCTGTACCAGTATAAAAAAAATATTTTAAAACATGCAAGAAGAGTGTTTTCATGTTTTCCTTTTCACCTGCCTTGTACCACTTTCTGTAGTCTGGAATACAACAAACATGCTAATGCTAGGGAAAGTGTTGGCAGTATTATTTTCTATTGTTGAAAGAGAAATGCTACTTATTCAAACTATTGAATGTAGCAGTTATAATTAATTCTTATCTTCTCCACATTATTAAATATTCTGCCATTCATACCAGTTTTGTTCAAACAAACAAAACTGAATCTGATTCACATTTTGAATAGCATTCTAAATGTGATTTTAATGAGGCTTTGGGGAGTGATTACAATCATCTAGTCTGAACAGCGAATATAAATTTTGTGATCTATCGTGTTTCAAACTCTTAAGTCCTTGTAAACTACAGAATCCATTTTTTAGCCTTTTGTTCTTGAATCAAGGAATTCGAGTTTGTTCCTGATACCAATAGAGTTGAGACCTTTAAAATCTTTGGGTTTGGTATATTTGTATAGCTTCATTTTAGGACCAGGTCTCCTTTTATCTAAAATTTGTGGATTAACTGCTGATAACTGTATCCTGGGGTGCCTCGAGCACAGCATTGTGAGCCAGTTGAGGGAGGTGATTGCTCTGCTCTACTCTGTGCTCGTGCGGCCTCACCTTAAGCCCTGTGTGTAGTTTTGAATGCCACAGCACCAACCCTGACAGAGTTCAGAAAGTGTTTGGACAATACTCTCATGCAAACACTGCGATTCTGAAGATCCTGATGGGTCCTTTCCAACGCAGGATATTCCGTGATTCTATGTGACTTGTGTAATCACAGATCAGGTGCACAAATCCTTCTTAGCTTGCCTGAGTAATCTATCACGAGAAATCCCATCCTTTTAAGGTTTTCCTGGGCATAGATAGATTAATTTTGTACTGAAAGTCTTAATGTTCTTATTGTACATTAAGGATGCCAAAGCTGATTCTTGTGATGCTTGTTTTTTAGGGCTGCAGTCAGTGTTTCCAAGCAATGTCTGCTGGTCTTGCTGTTACCGAGTGAAGTGCTGGCCTTTCACTGTCACTCTCACCAGTATTCCTTTTTAGAAGTCTTAACTATGCTCATTTTTCTTACACATTAAATTTTTCATAGCTCTCAGAAGAAATGCATTTTCATATTCAAAGAAATACGAGTGTTTAGCCAAGAGCTGTGAGATCTTCTGTGTCCTGAACACTAATGAGATTTTATTTAATAATAAAACCAAATTTCACTTTATGGGTTTTGCATAACTGAAACTCTTCTTTTTAGTAGCAGAAACTGAGAGAATGCCTGAATGGTTCTCTCTCAAAATATTTGAATGCAGTGTGGTTGCTCTCCACTGTATTTTTAAAAGACGCTAAAATGAATATGCAATGGGATTTCTCAGGGGAGCACTTTTTTTATTGATTGTATTTTTATGTGTCTTTAGAGT